TAAAAAAAAGTTATGTAAATTTTATATCAGCTTTAAAACACTGACTCATTTAGGGTGGATGAAAATATCAATAATATGATGTTTAATGATCAATAATCAATATTTTAAGCAGGTGTGTGAAGTGGTTGATTTTCCGAGGAGCAGTTTGTGTCATTAAGTTAAAGGACAGGTTCATGAAAACATTTTAAAAGCAAAGAAGACAAGAACTGTGTGAAGCGTCGGCTCACTGGACCAGAATCTGTTCTATTTGATGTTTCTGCACCTCTTTGAACTCCTCCAGACATTCTGGACCGCAGAAGGTTTTCGTGCCGTCCTCCAGCTTCAGCGCCAGCGGCGTTTGGCGGCAGGCCGAGCTGCAGAAGTCGCACACCCCCACGACGTCCTGGCAGAACGTTTCCAGACAGTCGTCGCTGCAGAAGCGGTGGACGGTCTGGCCCAGCTTCAGCTCGAGGGGCGCCTGAAACCGGAAGGGGCGGAGTCAAGAAGCGTTCTGCAGGAAGTGGAAAGATGCAAGACGGTTCTCTTACAGAGCAGCTGTTGCTGCAGGAGCTGCAGAGCGACGAGGACGCTGCGGTGGAACTACCGGAGGGAGGCTGGCGGTTCTGATCGGGCTGACGGTTCTGATCGGGCTGAGCAGTCGTGGGTTTGGACTTGAACGAACACAAGCAGGTCACACTGCAGAAGTCCTTCATGGTCCCTTTAAGGTCCACAGCAGCCATGATGAGGTCCAGAGGCTGAGATATCTCCCTGAGACCAGAAACAGAACTTTCAGAACCAACGTGGACCCACACTTCACGTGTCAGAACCTTTTAACTCTCAACATAATTTACTTAAACTACTTCATTCTCTACGCTTTATGGAATCACAATTCCATTTTACTGACTTTATTATGTTGTGACTTTATTTTATTTTCTAAAATAAGTTTCAGTTTTAGAATCACTATACTAAAATGGACTAACAAGTGTCCGTAAATACAATAAAAATATAAATCTGGAGGGCGGGGCAAACTCCTTCAGGTGCCCAGTTACATTATTTTGTTAGTGTGAGAATACCATAATTGCCGGTCCATAGAGATCACACGCAAAAAATAAACAAACTTTGTGTGTATGTATATATATATATA